AAATGGTGAAAGGATATCATATTAATTTTTTTTAATAAAATCTGCTGCCTTTTAGCTTTAAAACAATATGTTGTACAGTTAAATTGGTGTGATGGTTGTGAAACTATAATAATTTTAAAAATTGTCATTTTTTTTGCACACCACTGTATACTTATTAAACTTGAAAATAAAATTTCGCTCACACATTAAAACCGTTGATCAAACTTCTTCTTTATTTGCTAAATTTGCCAAAGAAGAGAAAAAATTACAATAAAAATTGAATTTGTAGCAGCAATTTAGATGCTTATAATAACGATTAACATTTACCTTTAACTCTTGATGCATGTTTGGTTAACGAACATATTGTCAAGCATAAAGGTAAACAACGTTTGGTGATTAACATAAAGGATATCATGGAGTTTAATCCGCAAACTGGTACAATAAAGGGGAATTGGGTTGAAGCAATTAATCGGCTTGCTAATTTGACTGATTCGAGACTTGAGAAAAACAAAATCAAAAATATGTTGGAATGTAACTTTTTCTACTAGTACAAAGTTCTATTACAGTCAGCAAAGTAGTATTTTTGGATGCTTTTAAACCGTTTTTCTCGTATGCTATGAGTTTTTTGCTCTCAAAATGAGAGAAATTGGATCTTGATTTAAATTTTTGGTTGAATACTTGTAACGGTGATGTAGATGAAAGGAACCACGTAGTTAATTATTGCAGCATATATGGACCGGAATATGATGATGTTGATCCAAATTCTAATGCTTATAGACGACTCTATTACAGCGTTCTTCCCATATACAAGCGGTGGCGAGAAAACCGCAGGTAATTGTATTGAATTGTACGATTTTCCTGATAGAATAGTTGATATCAAAGAAGCTGAAAAGTTGAAATTTATTGTGGATTTATGCATCCGGAAGGCCAAAGTCAAATCCCCCCGATTGAAGTTGAACAGTAACAAATATTGGTTAATGACAAAGCAACAGTTTCACCTGTTATTGGTTGTGCTGCTCTTGATGACAGTGATACACATGCGTGCATAACACGATTATGATGGTATGTTTAATTTTACTCATTTACCATGTTTTTCATTACCCTACGAAAATTCTAACCGTCTATACCTAACCTTCTAATTTTTTTTACCCAGAAAAAGGGCATGCTATGTAATTTCCTATTGATATATTATTAATATTTTGCGAAATACTATGATGCGACGAAAATGGAATAGTTTAACTGGTAGATGTTAGAAGTCGGATTATTATTAATACAAAGGAAAAAAATAGGGGAGAAAGCACTTATAAACAATATCCTTTTTGTAAATTTCCCAAGCGCACGAATTCTTGAGGGTTGAGAGTCTTTAATTACCCGTCTGACTCATCCAGGTAAATATAAGAAGTTAAGACAAAGAAAATATTTATTATGACTTTGTGCTTTCTTTTGAGGAGCAGGTTCATTTTGTGTCATGATGATACAGTTATTTGCTTGTTCCAATGATGAAGTTCCACGTAAATACAAAATTTTAGTTGTCTAAAAATTCAAGACAATTATTAATTATTTAATTACTTATTTATTACTTACCCATAATAATGATTTCAGAAGGCTTGTCCTGGACATCAGAAACACATCCAAGTTTGATACGAATCAATTGTCTCTGTTGATATTAAATTTGGAATTTTTATATTTATCAATGAAAATTTTCTAATTTTTCTTCTAACAATCTTGATTATCTTTTGTTTATGAAAAAAAAATCATGCAACTCTCTAACAAGCTGTTTATAAAAAAAAAGGTTACTTTGTGGTTCTCTGCTCATTATGTAAATAAAGATCCAAAAAATGAATAGGTCCTTCTTTACTGGTGTATTTGGAAAACTGGATTTGTTAATTTTCAATCAGTATTCCCAGGAAGATTCTCAAGAGAACGAATAATTCAACATGTATTAACAAATAGAAACCCTGCACTCAAAAATTACCAACTACTGCTACTATTATCCTAGCGACTATTACTATTTTAGGCTTGTTAGCATTTATTTTTATTTCTATTTCTCCTTTGGACAGTCCCTTTAGACTGTTTGAAGTCCTAGTTTTAAATACTGCTTCAAGAGAATATGACATGTTTAAAGTTATTTTGTTAATATTTTAAAAGATTTAATTTGTTTATTCCAAGGAATATTTTGCTTGAATAATAAATATTGAAAGGTTATTGTTAGAATGTAATGGGTCACTACATTCATGAGCTGGTTTAAGTAATCAAGTGATGACTGATCGAGGGATAATTAAATGGGTGCAAAATAACCTTGCTCAGAGTTTGCTAACTTCTTTTTTATTTATTATTATCTTAGGTTCAGCACTTGAAACAAGATATGACAATGATATTTTATTATGTGATGGTTATTAAACCATAAAAAAATTAATTTATCAATTTCATTCATTCGGAGTTTTATAAAATCATGTTTCAAAAGAATATAATGCAAATTATATAAAAACAGTTGCTCAAGATATTTTTTTCATCAAACTATTATTATATTACATGTCTAAAATCCCTTTATAAATGTATCTCAGTTTGAAAACAGTATCAATGAATTATCAAGAAGAACTCCCTATCAAGAATATCTTCCTGATAGAGAAGTTAACTGTTAAAGCCCATTGATATAATAAAAAGTTAGGAATGTGAAGTAGGAATGTTTGTTACACATCATTCATAAAAAATTTTTGATAAATTTTACCTTTTCCAAAATAAATTTATAAAAAATTATTAAATAAAGTTAAAATGTCATTTAATAAATTATTATCATCAGAAAGAAGGAACTTTGTAGATAAAATTCAGAAAGAAATGCATAATAATGCTCTGGTTAATAATTCTGAAAGAGAAAGTATAAAAGATTATTTTTTTTCATTAGTTGAAAAAAATAAGGAGCTCTCTAAAAATGAAAAAAATTATTGTAGAGAACATTTCATTTATAGCTTTGAATTAAATAATATAATTAATAAACTTGGCAAACCAAAAGAATGTAACAAGTGTAAAACAACAAGATACTCTGATAGATTCTGTGAAGGTTGTATTAGTTTACAGCTACAGAGTCTTTTCAATACTTGGACATCTGAAAATAACATAATTGATAATTTTATTCAACAATGTCAAATGAAATCATCTCTGCCAAACTATATTTTAGAATGGATACCTTTTGAGCAATTTTATGATATAACAAAATTAACTGAAGGTGGATTTAGTTCAATTTATACTGCTACATGGACAAGGGGAAGTATTGATGATTATAATGAAAATAAAAAGGAATTTAATTATTTTGGAAGGCAACTAGTAGTATTAAAAAGTTTAAATAATTCAAGTAATCCAGGAAAATCATTTTTTGATGAGGTTGGTAATTTTTATTTAAATAACATTGTATTATATAATACTAATTGATTTTATATTCAATTACAGGCAATAAATTATTCTAAAATTAAATCACCAATGATTGTTCCTTGCTATGGTATAACTAAATTCCCAGATAATGGAAATTATGCAATTGTTCTTAGTCATCATCCAGAAGGAAATTTAAGGGACTATTTACAAAAAAATCATTTTAATTTAACATTAAAAAATAGAATTACAATCTTTAGATATTTATGTGATGCATTATATCGTATACATGAAAAAGATTTAATCCATTGTGATTTACATAGTGGCAATATATTATTGGAAGGAGGTAATTGTTATATTACAGATTTGGGATTATGTGGGCCAGTTGATGAAAAATCATCAAATAAAATCTATGGAATTATATCATATGTTGCACCTGAGTTACTTAGAGGCAAAATTAATACAAAGAACACAAAAGAAACAGATATTTATAGTGTTGGGATGTTAATGTGGGAAATATTTGCAGGCCATCCACCATTTGATGATAGAGGTCATAATCATCGTTTAATTTTTGATATATGTGAAGGTTTACAACCACCAATATTACCTGGGATGCCTGATGACTATGTACAAATGATGCAGAAATGTTGGGATGTGGATCCATCTAAAAGACCAACTATTAGAGAACTTTGGGAATTTGCTGAAAATAAACGTAATGAAATTTTTAAAAATGAAAGTTTGAAAAATAATAATAGTAGCAATGATAGTTTAATAAAAAGATTATTCGGATTTACTAAAATTAAAATACAAAAAATTGATTTTAATCATGATGGCAGCAGCACCAGCAGTAGTAATTCACAACAAGCACACGAATCACATCCAGATGCATATCATAAAAGTAGAATATTAGATGATGAAATTGCCAAGTCAAAAAGCTTAAAAAGTTATACAAGTAACAACAGTTCATTAAATAATCTTGATATTAACTCTATTCTCTTAAACATTGATTTTAACAATGGTAAATAAATACAAATTTTGTTAATTAGATTATTAATTGTTAATTTATTTATTACTAACAATCTTTTTTTATTCTTGTTTAATTAATTAATTAGATTCTAATAATAAGGGAAAGGATGTTGAAACATCAATGGATGATTAATTTAGTCTCCACTATAAACTTATTCATATAAATTATATTTTTATTCTTAAAACTTTGTTATATACAATAATGTTTGAAATAATAAATATTTTACAATTTTAATTCTTGTTCCGGAGCAGAGAAATACTTTGAATTGGGGTTTTCTTTTTCTTTGCATTTGTTGATTGTTGATTTTCTCTCATTTCGCATAATGGTGGAAGTACCATTTGTAGTATTACATCATTCTAATGAAAATTCTTTATTAATGATGTTAAATGTACATTATAACATTCATTTTCAATTTCAAAATGGTATATTAATTTTGTTATTATAAGCTAATTGACCAAAAAGATAATTTTCATTTAAACAAGTAAGATGTAATGTATTTATAAATGAGTTAAATAATAAATAACTTGAAAACCTTTCAATTTACTATTGATTTAAACATGATGGCATGTTTGAATGATGTGGGTATTGTTTTTATTCAGGTATATGTTACAAAATTAATTTTAAGGTAAAAATAAAAATTTATTATGAATATATGTATGAATTGGATAGAATAATTAATTATAATTTACAAAGTAAATGAAAATTATAAATCTACTAATTCAAAATTTTTCTTCAATTCCTTAAATACTGAAGGTAAAAATTTTTCTCAATAATTCAGATTCATCCTCTAACCAATTATTATTTTATGAGTTATAGGTGATATTGACATTGGTGATATTAGTCTCTTATTATTATTATTATTTAATACTATTAAATAATTGTGATATCTCAATGATATTTAGTGAAAAGCTTAGTAAAGAAACATATTCATCATTTGTATTTGGTGATGGGTTGAATGTTGTTGATAAAGACTCTTAATAATAAACAAATAGTTAAAATCCTTCATCAATGTTAATATTTAAAAATTATATTTTACCTGCTTCTACACTTTCTTCTATTTTTTTCATATATAAAAATTATTAATTACTGAAAAATGCTCTTTTTAATTAGATCAATGTAAAAGAATTGAATCAACATTTTTGTCAGAAAGATCCATCCAATGTTCATATAATTTATCCCAATTGATATTTTTCTAATTTGATTTAGATGATTTTTATAAAGTTCTTTGAATTTACTGTGTTCATTGGAATTAAAGTTACTGGTGCAAACATAACTTCTACTTCTTTCTTTAATAAATAATGATGATGATTAGCATTTGTTACCATTAATTAAAATATTATTAAGATTATCATTATTTATTGTTGATGGATTACTAGATGCAGGATCACTGGTATCATAGATAAATTTAATAGACTTGATATCATGTCTTCTCCTGATTCTATAATATTTACATTATTCTATCATCATGTTCTGATGGAACAAAATTTTCATCAATTCAGATGTTCTAAGTTTTGTTTTAATTAAATAACTATAATTTCACTTTGGTAAGGAAATAATGAACATTTCTTCAATAGATAGTTACCTTCAACAATGTATTAACTATACAAGGTCCACATACAGTATGTCTAAAAGGAGTTGCAAAAGCTTTATTTGCTTGTTCCGATGATGAGGTTCCATGCAAATATAAAAATTCAAGATAACTGTTAATTCGTGATTCTTTTAAAAATGAGTGATCTGCATTGATTTTAAATAAGGATCGGCGGGGATAATTGCACTATGGTTGGCTCGGTCTAAAGACTTCTTGTTGCTGCGCCACGTGCTCAAATTTCAAAAATTGCAATTTCGTGATTCGTTCAAAAATGCAATAAAATTTTTTAAAAAAGGGTTACACGTGATTTTGGTTAAAAAACTATTTTTCTTACTGCCAAATTTAGATATGATGGTCGAGTATTAGGCTAAATTTAGTAATGATAATCAAACCTAGTCTAAATTTAGCAATGATCCTAGCGCTCAAATTTCTCATGAGCATAGTAAAGTACATGTTTTAAAAAAGAATAGAACTCTACAATAAATAATTTTTTGGAGAAAATCTCTTCATTACATTAAAAGTAGAAACCTATTTTACCAACTAATGAGGCTATTTTTTTAAAAGGTAGGACAGAAAATGACTTCTATACTTTTAAAATTTGCCCAAAATTTAGGAGGTCTTTAGACCAAGCCAACTATAATAAAACACATATGGGTCTTCCATAAAAATAGATTTTTTTTAGGTAAATCGCAAATTAAAATTGTTACACGAAAAAGGAAAATTGCCCCCTAAAATTTGATACTATTTTTAAACCCGGTGATTGTCAAAGTTATAATACCGGCCAAGATTATTTTATTATAAAATAAATTTTTATAAATAATGTAGTGATTTTGTTTTGAAAGTAAAAAGTTTTTAATAAGTTTTATAAGTCAAATAACATCAATATTCTATTTAATTATCAAAAATTGCTGGTACATCTATGCAAGATATACAGTATATAACTTTTTGGAGACTTTGGAATCAATTAACACCAAATATTAAATTTTTAAATGCTTCAAATGATCTGTGTGAGGCTTGTGAAATTTTTAGATTAAAATTGGTAACATCAAGTAATGATGCAAATGTTGAAATAAAATTTGATTATGAAGAACATCTTACAGCAGCAGATCATGAAAGACAACATTATAATAAAACTATTGAAAAATGCAAAAATGATTCAACATCAACTCACATTTGCTATGATTATGCTCAAAGTGTTTCTGCACCATATTCACCTCAACAAGTTGGTTCAATTTATTTTAAAACTCCTTTTAAAATAAATATTTTTGGTATATGTACTAAAAATAATGAGGGTGAAGATTATCAACTAAACTATACTATAGGAGAAGATGAATTGCCAGAAGGAACATCAAAAGGAGCTAATACAACTTTAAATATGGGTTTTGATTTTCTCCAAAAGATTCATCATAATGGTGAAAAAAA